TGGCAGTGTCCCTGACAGTATGAACATTAAATGGTATAAAATACCCGACAGGTTGTTAGGTAAGACACATATCAACATTAGTATCTTTATTATGAAACGTTTCGCCTACACAGTAGCTTCTTCAGTCAAGTACAGAAAATTGATAGAATCAGAAGATACTTGAAGACGATGTAATCATCCATCACCCTTAAAGTTTTGAGTGTCAGTCCCTCCAGTCCCTGCGAGAAGAAGCATTGTTTCCATAGTATGAAACAATATGGAGAAGGAAGTGACAGGATGGAGCTTTATACGCCAGGAGGTGAGACTAGGCCACTAGGAGAGGTAAGACTCAGATGTTGAAAGTTAGGTCCCTCTCAACCCAGCCCTCTCAATAGTGAAGTTGTCGAAGTGATTGCAGGTCTTACCAAGATACCCTTGTGTTGCAGTGTCCTGACAGATTGAACATTAAAATGGTTATAAAATAACCGCCAGTTAGATAGGTAAGACACATAAGGCGAACAGTTAGGTATCTTTATTATGAAACGTTTCGCCTACACAGTAGGCTTCTTCTTCTTCTGTGTAGGCGAGAAACGTTTTCAAAATAAAGATACCATAATGTAGCATCTGTGTCTATAACCTAACAACCTGTCGGTATTTTATACCCCATTTTAAGTGTTCACTCTGCAGACACTGCAACACAAGGGTATCTTGGTACAGACCTGCAAACAACTTCGACAACTTCCCCTAGTGAAGTCTGGATTTGAGAGGGCCCTAACCTTCAACATTTGAGTTATTACTCTTCTCCTACGTTTGTCCTACGTCTCACCTCCTGCGCTATAAAAGCTCCACCTGTCACTTCTTCTCCATATGTTTCATACTATGGTAACAATGCACTCTCCAGACTGAGGGACTGACCACCTCAAAACTTTAAGGGTGATGGACTCTTACATCGTCTTCAAGTATCATCGCTTCTATCAACTTTTTCTGTACTTTGACAGAAGAAAACCAACTTTGTAGGCGAAACGTATTCATAATAAAGATACTAACTGTTGCATATGTGTCTTACCAAACAACTGTCGGTATTTTTCTACCATTTTAATGATCAATCTGTCAGACCACTGAGCAACACAAGGGTCTGGTACAGACCTGCAATCAACTTCGACACTTCCACAAGTAGAGGGGCTGGTTTTGAGAGGGACCTAACCTTTCAACATCTGAGTTCTTACCTCTCCTAGTGGCCTCGGCTCACCTCCCCAGGCCTATAAAAGCTCCATCCAGTCACTTCTTCTTCCATATTGTATTCATACTATGGAACACTTTTATATGCTCTTCTCTCAGACTGAGGACTGACCCCACAAAACTTTTAAGGGTAAGGACTGATTACATCGTCTTCAAGATCTTCTGCTTCTATCAACTTTCGTACTTGACTGAAGAAGCCTACTGTGTAGGCGAAACGTTCATAATAAAGATACTAACTGTTGCATATGTGTCTTACTAACAAACCTGGTCGGTATTTTATACCATTTTAATGTTCAATCAGTCAGACACTGCAACACAAGGGTATCATGGTACAGACCTGCAATCAACTTCGACAATTTCCACTAGTGAGTAGGGGGCCAGGGTTTGAGAGGGGACCTAACCTTTCAACATCAGAGTTCTATCATCTCCTAGTGGCCTACGTCCCCCTCCTGCGCTATAAAAGCTCCATCCTGTCACTTTCGTCCTCCATAGTGTTTCATACATATGGAACAATGCTCCATCTCACAGACTGAGGTACTGACTCACCTCAAAACTTTAAGGGTGATGGACTGATACATCGTCTTCAAAGTATCTTCTGCTTCTATCAACTTTTCTGTACTAGACTGAAGAAGCCTACTGTGTAGCGAAACGTTTTCATAATTAAAGAAACCTTAACTGTGCATATGTGTCTTTACCTAACAACCTGTCGTTATTAATACCATTTAATGTTCTATCCTCAAGTGCAGATTCAGGGCCTCAGCTTCTCCTCACAGTGCAGATTCAGGCCTCAGTCTATCCATCATAGTGCAGATTCAGGGCCTCAGTCCTATCCTCATAGTGCAGATTCAGGACCTCAGTCTAATCCTCACAGTGAGCAGATTCAGGGCACACCGTCTATCCTCATAGTGCAGATTTCAGGGTCCTCAGGTCATATCCTCATAGCTGCAGATTTCAGGGTCCTCAGTCTATTCCCTCATAGGGAAGTTTCTGATACATGGAAACATCTTTGTCATTCCACCTTTGTAACGTTTTCCAGACATTTATAACCATTCTGTAAATACGTGACACAGAAACTGACAGCATAGTCTTAAATGAGCCTAACCAAGAAAATAGATCTGAACAACCTGAGGACTTAGAACAGGTCGCTCCTTTCTGTCTCAAACTATTGGAACCACTACGACAAGGTCGCTAAATTGCACAGAAGACAAAAACGAATGCAGATTAAGATATACAGACTTTGCAAAAGCCTTCCGACAAGTGTGACCAATGGCGTAATACGCACAAAATGTGCGTGCTAAAGGAATAACAGGAAAGTCGGTCGATGGAAATCCTATAATTTCCTCACTAACAGAACACAGAGATAAGTCGTCAACAGAGAAAGTCCGAGCAGCTACGGTGAAAAGCTCTGTTCCACAAGGCACAGGACTCTCGCTCCATCTTGTTCCTCATCCTTATATCCGACATAAGACAAGGATGTCAGCCACAGCACCGTGTCTTCATTTCAGATGACACCCGAATCTGCATGACAGTGTTTCCATTGCAGACACTGCAAAGCTCCAGGCAGACATCATGACCAAATCGTTCAGTGGGCTGCAGAAAACAATATGAAGTTCAACATGAGAAATATCAATTACTCAGTATATGGTAAACTGAGGAATTAAATCGTCACAGAGTACAAAACAAATCTGCCACAAAAAAAGAGCGAAACACCAACGTCAAAGACCTGGGGAGTGATCATGTCCGGAGGACCACCTTCAAGGACCAAAACATTGTATCAATCGCACCTGCTACAAAAATGACAGGATGGATAATAAAACCTTCAACACTAGGGAGGGCCAAGCCCATGATGACACTCTTAGTCACTTGTTCTATCTAGGCTGGAATATTGCTGCACACTAACAGCACCTTTTTTATTCAATGCCGGTGAAATGCCGTCCTAAAAATGTACAGAGAATCTTTCCACGGCGCGCATAACGGAGATAAAACACCCAATTATTGGGAGCGCTTGAAGGTTCCTAACCCTGTATATCCCTGCGGAAGCAGGAGGAGAGATACATGATTATATACACCAGGAAAATCTCTAGAGGGACTAGTACCGAACATTGCATCACGAAAATCACCTCATTACGAAAAGCAAAAGACTTGGGAGGCAGACGATGCACCATCCCCCAATGAAGCAGGGTGTCACTAGCACGTTAAGAGACCAACAATAATGTCAGGGCCCGAGACTGTTTCAACTGCAGCCTCCCAGCACACATAAGGGGGATTACCAACAGACCCCTGGCAGTCTTCAAGCTGGCCACTTGACCAAGCACCTAAAGTCAGTTCCGATCAGCCGCTGTAGCCTCGTATGTTGGTTTGGCGTGCAGCCAGGCAGCAACACCTTGTTGATCAGCTCTGATCCACCAGGAGGCCTGGTCTCAGACCGGGCCGCGGGGGGCGTTGACCCCCGAACTCTCTCCAGTAAACTCCAGATTAAAGCCAAGAATCTGTCTAGAATTTATTGCGAACATAATGCATTTTGGTCTTGGTTTAAGGTTACTGCAAACCAGAACACCTAAATTCCTTTTTTGGCAATCAGTAGTATTAAGATCTACAATTTTTAGTTTTATCTGTGGCATGTTTATTTTAAACTGTCCAACATTTAGAACTTTGCATTTGTCAAAATTAAACTAGCATCTGCCTCTTCTCCGACCATAGCGTCATTCTATTGAAATCATCCTGGATGCACTAATGTCCCTCAATAGAATGAATTTGGACGCGCCTCTTTTGTGGTCATTAGCAAATTTGCTTATGTCGCTATTTATTCCCTCATCTATGTCGTTTATGTATATTGTGACAGCAGGGGGCCCAACACTGACCCCTGAGGAACACCGCTCGTGACGCTTCCTCCCCATCCTGATTTCTCCCAATTTATGCAAACACTCTGCTGTCTATTTGTCAGCCAGGCCTCTACCCAGGAAAAAATTTCTCCTCCTATTACGCGTGTGCCATAAGTTTCCTCAATAGCCCTCTGATGTGAAAACTCAATCGAAAGCCTTACTGAAGACCAAATACACAATATCCTATTCATTAACCATGATCTACCCTCCTCAAACACCTTGTGAAAAAAAAGTTATAAATTCGTAAGACAGGAACGCCCCTTCGTAAAACCATGTTGAGAATCATTAATCAATCTGTGCCTATCAAGATGGCTACGAATTGCTTCGGCAATTATTGATTCCATAAATTTTCCACTATGGGAAGGTTAGGCTTATTGGTCTACAGTTCGAAGCTAAGGACCTGTCACCTGCCTTGTAAATAGGTATCACATTTGACTCTGTACTACATCACGCTGAGGGAGAGGATGGTGTACTAAACTACATTATTAAAGGTATAACAAGTGCACATAGACGGTCTAAGTTTAAAATTAGAAAGGATAGAGGAAAGTATTGATTTGGAAAAAGAGTAGTGAACAAGAAAGCCCATCAGGAGCAGGACAAGTCTTACCAGGCTCATCGTAAATTAACCTATGACGGACGATACAGGACTCCAGGTGCACTGGTACAGATGCATCTGTACAGAGTGCACTGTAAGTAAGTAAGTAAGTAAGTAAGTAAATTTATTCAGGTATACACAATACAGTTACATAGAATTATCATACATAGCAGCATAAGAACATAAGAACATAAGAACGAAGGAACACTTGCAGAAGGCTACTGGCCCACAGCGAGGCAGGTCCAAGTCACCTCCGCTTAAGCCAATGCAACACAACCTAGTACAGGTCAGGTCACATTGACTTAATGGAGGAACACGGCAACGACCAGGTACAACAGCTATCAGGTCTAACTCACACCCACCCACATCTACTCATGTATTTATCCAACCATTTTTAAAGCAAGCACAAACGTTCTGGCCTCTATAACGGTACTTGGAGTTTGTTCCACTCATCCACAACTTTATTACCAAACCAGACTTTCCTATAACCTTCCTGAAATCTGAATATTTCCAACATTAAAAACCTTGCTGCGAGTCCTGTCTAGCCTAGATATTTTTCAGCACACTATTTACATCCCCTTTTAATTATACCTGTCTTCCATTTATAAACACACTCAATCATATCCCCGCCTAATTCTACGTCTTTCTAGAAGCAGTTTTTCAGGGCCCTAAGTCCTATCCTCATAGGGAATGGTTACTGATACATGTGGATCAACTTTTGCATCCGCCTTTTGTACATTTTCCCAGAGAATTATATCCATCTGTACTACGGTGACCTAAACTGTGGCAGCATAATCTAAAGAAAGCCTAACCAAGGATGTATAGAGTTGAAGAACAACCTGAGGACTCACTATTTATTTTTTTTTTATGCTTCTTGATATGAAGCCAAGATTCTTAGTTGCTTATTTGCGAACACTTTGCACTGTTTGTCTTGGTTTCTGATTTACTGCCAACCAGAACACCTAAATCTTTTTTCGCAAGCCGTAATATTAAGATTCTACATCAAATATTTATATGTGGCATGGTTATTGTCCAGCCAACATTTAACATTTGCATTTATCTATATTAAACTGCATCTGCACTCTCCGACCACGCAATCAGTCTTATTTCAAATCTTCCTGGAGTGCTCGAATGGTCCTCGTCCAGAATGAATTTCGAGGCGCCATTTTGGTGTCATCGGCAAACTTGCCGATGTCGCTCTTTATGCCCCTCATCCTATGTCGTTTTATGTAGATTGTGACCAGCAAGGGGGCCCAACACTGACCCCTGTGGAACACCGCTCAGTGACACTTCCCCACTCTGAATTTTCCCCATTTATGCAAACTCTCTGCTGCCTATTTGTCAACCATGCCCACTATCCAGAAAAAATTTCTCCTCCAATTCCATGTGCTTTAATTTCACTCAATAGTCTCTGATGTGGGACTCTGTTCAAAAGCCTTGAGCATGAAGTCCATATACACAATATCCATTTTCATTACCATGATCTACCTCCTCAAATACTTAGGAAAAAATTAATAAAATTCGTAAGGCAGGAACGCCCTTTGTAAAACCATGCTGAGATTCGTTGATTAATTTATGCTTTTCAAGGTGCCTACGAACTGCCTCGGCAATTATTGATTCCATAAATTTTCCACTATGGAGGTTTTAGGGCTTATTGGTCAATAGTTCGAAGCAAAGGAACGCTGAGCACCTGTTGTTGAAAAAAAGGTACAACATTTGCCCATTTTCCACTTATCTGGCACCATGCCAGTTTGTAAAAGTGATATGTTAAAAGATTAGCCACAGGTGTGGCTAAGCTCCTCTTACATTCCGTTAGAACCCTTGCATACAGTTCCTCTAGGGCCTGGGGAAAATGTTAGGTTTTAATTTATCTATTGCCTAAGGACCATGTCACTTGTACCCTAATATGCACAGTTTATTTATCGTCCAACCTGTTCTACATAATTATCATTACTGGCTATCGCTGGTAATCCTCCTGAGTAAAAACTGAGAGAAGTATGTTTAAAAATTCTACTATCTACAACATTTCCTTATCACTGTCAGTGAGCCGACCCGAGGAACTTTTGAGTGGGCCTATCTTGTCCCTGATCTTACTCTGTATACCTGAAAGAATCCTTTTTAGGGTTAGTCTTCGATTCTCTGCAACTTTAACCTCATAATCTCTATTTTGCATTTCTAAATTCCCTTATTTATTCTGTCTCTTTATAACTGCTATATCGATTTCTCAATTGCCCCTCTCCTCTTTTGATTTCCTATATATGCCTCTCTTTTGACCAATCAATATTTTAATCTATTGTTCATCATTAGGATCATTTTTTGTTTTGATCTGATTCCCTATTATGGAAACATAATTTGACTGAGCAGCTAGAACTTGCCCTGGAAAGCCATATCGGCAAACATCACCACCCTACCATACCCTTATCATCATTCCAGTTCAGCCCACCTAAGAATTTTTTTCAGTCCTATGAGATCAGCCAAGCGAAAGTGGGAGGGACGGAATACTTGATTTCCATATTCGGGGTATCCATGATATATTAAACTGAGTGATTTGTTGATCACTTTCCCCAAGCTCATATGTGTAGAGAACATAGGATAACCCAAAAAAGTCAGACAGAGTGACTTATTTCCATTGGGGTCCTTTTACTGGTACAGAGTGCACTGGTACAGAGTACACTGGTACAGAGTGCACTGGTACAGAGTACACAGGTACAGAGTGCACTGGTACAGAGAACACTGGTAGAGAGTACACTGGTAGAGAGTACACTAGTACAGAGTACACTGGTACAGAGTACACTGGTACAGAGTACACAGGTACAGTACACAGGTACAGTACACTGGTATAGAGTACACAGGTACAGTACACAGGTACAGTACACTGGTACAGAGTACACAGGTACAGTACACTGGTACAGAGTACACTTCAGTAACCTTTAACAACCCCAACAAAGGACACCAGGACGCTAGTATTTTCAACACGTGGTTTTAAAAATGCCTTTTTTTCTTCGAGGAAAGCGGCCGGAGTTTAATAAACACAAGGTAATATCTCCATCAAGGTGGGGATGGATGCCTTGATGCTGCTCTAGGGCTCTTGTTTCAAGTGATCAGAGCTGGCTGCCTCATGGATCAAGGGCTGTAATAAACCTTGTCGGGTTTTATGATGTTGGTGAGGGGCTCTTGATTTAGGGAATTGGATCTGTGCTCCAGTTCCCCGAATTAAGCCTGAATGCCTTCCACATCCCCCCCCCCAGGCGCTGTATAATCCTCCGGGTTTAGCGCTTCCCCCTTGATTATAATAATAATAATAATTACCTGGAGGCTTACCTGGAGAGAGTTCCAGGGGTCAACGCCCCCGCGGCCCGGTCTGTGACCAGGCCTCCTTAGGTCAGTGTCCCAGGATGCGACCCACACCAGTCAACTAACACCCAGGTACCCATTTTACTGATGGGGAACATAGACAACAGGTTGAAAGAAACACGTCCAATGTTTCTACTCTGGCTGGGAATCGAACCCAGGCCCTCGCTGTGTGAAGCGAGAGCGTTAACCACCAGGCCACCAGAGATGTATCAGATATCCGCATCCGCGGAACATCCGCACAGTTTCTTATATCTGCATTTTACTGTAAACAGATATCCACACATGTATCCGCATCCGCAAAATAAGTAAGACATCCTCGTACGCATCCGCAGATATCTAAATTTTCACATCTGATACATCTTTATTGCAGACAGCTCCATGGTGGTGCTCGGGCATTATTTTACATTCTACTTTAGGTACGAGCTGTCTAGACCATGGAATAATTTGTTAATTTTTGTGCAAATTGTTATTTTGGAGATATTGGCTCAAGGACCCCAGTGGAATTAAGTTTTTTGATCTTGGGTTATCCTGGTGGGTAAATTACATGTACAGTATATGTTGCTACGTACAACCTCTCCTGACATAGCGACGTACTCGTTTTTCAACCACTCGAACTTATGACCAGTTCTCCAATCAGTATGCAAAGCTAAAAAATGTGTATAAGAGCTGATTTCCTCTATTCTGTTTACTTCAGTATACAGTGAACTACTGTATAAACATTTAGACGAAGGGACTTATTTTCATTGGGATTCTTGTTGAGTTAGGTGACTGTGGGTTATGTTAGGCTATGTTGTATTAGGTTAGCTTGAGGTATGCGAGTACATTGCCAACCGAACCACAGGACACTGCATATATAAAATAAATTGTTTGTGTGGTTCACGTGCATGTGAGTATGGGGTGAAATGTTTGATTGGATTGTACGCTGAATGACTTGTTCCCGGTCCTTAGGAAAGTTTTTAAATTTCTTTGTATACTGCTCTAGACCCTCCAGGAAGTGCCTTGATGCTGGTTGAGAGCTCTTGTTCAAAGGAGCACCTTTATAGTAATTTTTAGTGCTTGTTGGTGTGAAGTCTTTACATTCTTGTCTTCATTTCAGAAAACTTTTAAAGGAGGAAGAAGAACTAATGAACCACTAGCCAAGAAAGGGAAGTTTACACGAGACCTGGATGAAGAGATTACAAGCGAAGAAGATGAACAGCACTTAAAAGGAAAGCCAATAAATGAGGAGGTGGAGGCAGAAGCAGAGGAGACCGCACAAGAGAAGAAAGTGAGGCTGGCTCGTCAGTACCTCGAGGAACTGGAAGCGCAAAGTAAATTCACAGTAAACGACTTTTTTTTTTTAAACCAATGATCTTATAAACTGTTATCCTACATCACTTTATATGCAGGGTAATGTCTGTTATCTTCCTCAGCACATTTATGGATTAAGGTGTTATCCTGTCTTAACTCGATTTACAGGCTACGAGCTGATATCTTAGCTCAGTTCATTATATAAAATAAGAGCTTTCATTCTACCTCAGTTCATTATACAGAATAAGAGCTGTTATCCTACAGTTCATTATATAAAATAAGAGCTTTCATTCTACCTCAGTTCATTATACAGAATAAGAGCTGTTATCCTACAGTTCATTATATAAAACAAGAGCTTTCATTCTACTTCAGTTCATTATACAGAATAAGAGCTGTTATCCTACAGTTCATTATATAAAACAAGAGCTTTCATTGTTCCTCAGTTCATTATACAGAATAAGAGCTGCTATCCTACAGTTCATTATATAAAATAAGAGCTTTCATTGTAACTCAGCTCATTTCAAAGCTCTTTGATAACCACAGTTAAAATAACTTTTTAAGTATATAATATTGTACAGACATAAAATTTTCTTGTCCACTTTTCTACAGTAAACTCTCTTAAATACACAAATAGTATTTGTACAAGTACATGGTACAACTTATACAGACCATAGCTGACATCAGTGACATACTATATAGAAAGTCCCTGGTTATGTAGTGTATTTCAGGCAACTTAAGTTAATTTTGTCCCTAGGACATGACCCACACCAGTCCAATAACATGCAAGTACCTACTTATTGCTAGGTGAACAGGGACAGTAGGTGTCTTAAAGAAACATGGATAACGTGGATAGCCTAGCAGTAAAATGGGTACCAGGGTGTTAGTGGACTGCTGTGGGTCACATCCTACAAACAAAATTGACCTAATTTGCCCAAAATACTCTGCATAACAAGGGGCTTTATATATAGTATGTCACTGATGTCAGCTATGGTCTGTATACGTTGTACGTATACTTGTAAAAATGAAGATTATTATTATTTAAAAAAAAACGGCTCTATCCCACCAAGGCAGGGTGACCTAAGAAGAAAAACAAAAGGGGGTTATTATTATTATTATTATTATTATTATTATTATTATTATTATTATTATTATTATTATTATTATTATGAAAAGCTCCATACATAAAGAATTTTTTGTAAATGTGATTGAAGGACTACAACCAAAATTGAATAGCAAGTTAAAAGACCTTCATAGTACGTTCTGTTTTATTCAATTTTGGATGAACTCCTTCGATTGCATTTGTAAAGATAACACTATTCTCTATTGTGAGTTAGCTTTATTGTTTGTTTATAAAGAATGAAAAAGGCACAATACTGCGACTGGAATGACTACATGCATAACATTCATATAGGAGAAGAAAATTGATGACAATGTTTGGGTCCGACTTGGACCGTTGATTGCTCACTGATTAATGGTCCAAGTCAGACCAAAACGTCATCCTAAGTGTCATTCTCCTATGTGCTGGTTATTTGTGTATTGAGCAAGAAAGGTATAAAATACCGACAATATGAAAGTTAAGACACATGTGCAACATCTGGATATCTTTATTGTAGACGTTTCGCCATCCAGTGGCTTTATCAATACAGATTCTAGGACATAATAGGAAGACAGTAGAACTATATACAAAAGATGAGGTAATCAGTCCCTCGGCCTTGGAGTTAGTGTTCACAGCACGTGGTGTGAACACTAACTCCAAGGCTGAGGGACTGATTACCTCATCTTTTGTATATAGTTCTACTGTCTTCCTATTATGTCCTAGAATCTGTATTGATAAAGCCACTGGATGGCGAAACGTCTACAATAAAGATATCCAGATGTTGCACATGTGTCTTAACTTTCATATTTGTGTATTGTTTGTGTCTACAAACACTAAATATATCTTACATATTTTATTCACTAGAATTGCAAGACGAAGACGACGAAGTTTCTAAAACAAAGCCATTGGTACCCAACTTCGAGAAGACTTACTCGAAGCGTCCGGAAGACTGCGTAAGAATGTTGCACGCACATACCTAGAACCCCAGCAAGAGGACATTCGCATCTACAAGTCTAAACACCAGAAGCTTTCCATCACTTGTGTTTGTGTGACCTCTGATGAGAGATATATCTTCTCTGGTTCCAAAGATTGTGCCATTGTAAAATGTAAATGATGCATATTCACATTTATCAATATATATATACAGTGGACCCCCGCTTAACGATCACCTCCAAATGCAACCAATTATGTAAGTGTATTTATGTAAGTGCGTTTGTACGTGTATGTTTGGGGGTCTGAAATGGACTAATCTACTTCACAATATTCCTTATGGGAAAAAATTCAGTCAGTACTGGCACCTGAACATACTACTGGAATGAAAAAAGTTCGTTAACCGGGGGTCCACTGTATATATATAATAGATGTTATATTTTATAGACATATAGATTTCTTAACTTTCACTGGGAAATTTAATCTTAATTCTGAATTTGTTTCAGGTCAAAAAAAATGATAATAAAGAGTATTGGACTACGTAATTGGTAAAGTTAGGTTTGAGCTCGTGTAAAGTTAGGTTTGACCTTGTGTAAAGTTAGGTTTGACCTTGTGTAAAGTTAGGTTTGACCTTGTGTAAAGTTAGGTTTGACCTTGTGTAAAGTTAGGTTTGAGCTTGTGTAAAGTTAGGTTTGAGCTTGTGTAAAGTTACGTTTGACCTCGTGTAAAGTTAGGTTTGACCTTGTGTAAAGTTAGGTTTGACCTTGTGTAAAGTTTGGTTTGAGCTTGTGTAAAGTTAGGTTTGACCTTGTAAAGTTAGGTTTGAGCTTGTGTAAAGTTAGGTTTGACCTATGTAAAGTTAGGTTTGACCTTGTGTAAAGTTAGGTTTGACCTTGTGTAAAGTTATGTTTGACCTTGTGTAAAGTTAGGTTTGACCTTTGTAAAGTTAGGTTGACTTGTGTAAAGTTAGGTTTGAGCTTGTGTAAAGTTACGTTTGACCTCGTGTAAAGTTAGGTTTGACCTTGTGTAAAGTTAGGTTTGACCTTGTGTAAAGTTAGGTTTGAGCTTGTGTAAAGTTAGGTTTGACCTCATGTAAATTAGGTTTGAGCTTGTGTAAAGTTAGGTTTGACCTTGTGTAAAGTTAGGTTTGACCTTGTGTAAAGTTAGGTTTGACCTTGTGTAAAGTTAGGTTTGAGCTTGTGTAAAGTTAGGTTTGACCTCATGTAAAGTTAGGTTTGAGCTTGTGTAAAGTTAGGTTTGACCTTGTGTAAAGTTAGGTTTGACCTTGTGTAAAGTTAGGTTTGACCTTGTGTAAAGTTAGGTTTGACCTTGTGTAAAGTTAGGTTTGACCTTGTGTAAAGTTAGGTTTGACCTTGTGTAAAGTTAGGTTTGACCTTGTGTAAAGTTAGGTTTGACCTCATGTAAAGTTAGGTTTGAGCTTGTGTAAAGTTAGGTTTGACCTTGTGTAAAGTTAGGTTTGACCTTGTGTAAAGTTAGGTTTGACCTTGTGTTAAGTTAGGTTTGACCTCGTGTAAAGTTAGATTTGACCTCGTATAATGGTCCCTGAGAAACCATTGTTACCTCACCATGCAGGGACTGGAAGAGTACAGTGGACCCCCGCATAACGATCACCTCCGAATGCGACCAATTATGTAAGTGTATTTATGTAAGTGCGTTTGTACGTGTATGTTTGGGGGTCTGAAATGGACTAATCTACTTCACAATATTCCTTATGGGAACAAATTCGGTCAGTACTGGCACCTGAACATACTTCTGGAATGAAAAAATATCGTTAACCGGGGGTCCACTGTATTTGACTTTACTTTCTTCTTGTAGCTAGCCTCTCTTTCCTCAGATCAAACTTGATTGCCCCCCTCCCCCATTGCCCATACACTATGATGCCTATGGTTTCAACAGTTCCCCATGAATGTAATAACCATGATTTCCATATCTGCTACATATTTTGACTTTCTCCAGATACCCTGGATGGAAAAAGAATAGGGAATATCCCTGGCGGACGGAAAGGCACAGAAAATGTACATGTTGGTCACACGTCTCACGTATACTCTGTGGCGGTCTCTTCAGATGGTAAATTTTTGGTAAGTTCTTGTATGTATTTTAACTTGCAGTGAGGTAAGGATGCTGCAGCCCTGGAGGTGGGAAGTACAGTGCCTGCACTCAAAAGGAGTGAGGATATTGCAGTCCTGGAGGTGGTTAATGTGTGATACTTTAAAAAAGGTTGCATTGGAGAGGGAGTAAATGGGGATAATTTGCAGTCCTAGAGGTGTAAGTACGTGGCCTCCTCTGGCAAGACATGCAGACTGGAGTGATGTGGATATTGGTCTGGAGAAGTGGTTTTTTTTTCTGTTTATTGGGTCTCTGCACTGCCTGCTCGGTGGGAGACAGCCAGTTCGTTTAAAAAAAAATTATTGAGATTTAACGCATGGTTGGACAGTGCCACCTATTACTCCATTATATTAAGGTTTATTGGTTTTAGGACTAGTTTATCACAGGTTTAGATCCCACTTGGCTTACCATGAGCTCAGATCCCACTTAACTTACTAATGGTTCAGATCCTCACTTGGCTTACTGTGGCTTCAGATCCCACCCGTTCTATGAATTCTTTACAATTGTGTCATTGTGGCCTCGCAATGACATTTGTAAATCAGAATGGAACTTAATGTTTGATTGAAAAATGGTATCAAATACCAATACGTTGAAGATTAAGACACACGTGCTGAACTTTTCTCCAGGCTGAGGGCCTGACCACTTTTTTTTTTTTCCAACAAACCCGCCATATCCTACCAAGGCAGGGCGGCCCAAAAAGAAAAACGAAAGTTTCTCTTTTTAAATTTTGTGATTTATACGGGAGAAGGGGTTACTAGCCCCTTGCTCCTGGCATTTTAGTCGCCTCTTACGACACGCATGGCTTACGGAGGAAGAATTCTGTTCCACTTCCCCATGGAGATAAGAGGAAATAAACAAGAACAAGAACTAGAAAGAAAATAGAAGAAAACCCAGAGGGGTGTGTATATATATGCTTGTACATGTATGTGTAGTGTGACATAAGTGTAAGTAGAAGTAGCAAGACGTACCTGAAATCTTGCATGTTTATGAGACAGAAAAAAGGTCACCAGCAATCCTACCATCATGTAAAACAATTACAGGCTTTCGTTTTACACTCACTTGGCAGGATGGTAGTACCTCCTTGGGTGGTTGTTGTCTACCAACCTACTACCAGAGGACGGTAGTACCTCCCTAGGTGGTTGTTGTCTACCAACCTACTACCACAGGACGGTAGTACCTCCCTGGGCGGTTGTTGTCTACCATCCTACTACCACAGGACGGTAGTACCTCCCTGGGTGGTTGTTGTCTACCAACCTACTACCACAGGATGGTAGTACCTCCCTGGGTGGTTGTTATCTACCAACCTACTACCATAGGACAGTAGTACCTCCCTGGGTGGTTGTTGTCTACCAACCTACTACCACAGGACGGTAGTACCTCCCTGGGCAGTTGTTGTCTACCAACCTACTACCACAGGACGGTAGTACCTCCCTGGGTGGTTGTTGTCTACCAACCTACTACCACAGGACGGTAGTACCTCCCTGGGCGGTTGTTGTCTACCAACCTACTACCACAGGATGGTAGTACCTCCCTGGGTGGTTGTTGTCTACCAACCTACTACCACAGGACGGTAGTACCTCCCTGGGTGGTTGTTGTCTACCAACCTACTACCACAGGATGGTTGTACCTCCATGGGTGGTTGTTGTCTACCATCCTACTACCACAGGATGGTAGTACCTCCCTGGGTGGTTGTTGTCTACCAACCTACTACCACAGGACGGTAGTACCTCCCTGGGTGGTTGTTGTCTACCAACCTACTACCTAGGACTGACCACCTTAGATACTTTTTTTTACAAGGTTGATGGACTGATTACATCATCTTTATTTCACTACTTCACCTGCTTCCTCTATATTTGACTGAAGAAGCCTTCTGTGTATAACTGGAGAGGGTTTCAGGGGTCAACGCCTCTGCGGCCCGGTAGGCGAAACATTTCATCAATAAAGATACTCAACTGTTGCACGTGGGCCTTAATCCAGAATTTAGTGTTTAATGACTTTTGCAGGCATCAGGTGATAAAGAGGGCTACATACACATCTGGAATGCAGACACTCTAGAACATCTCAAGAAGAAACCCCTTTTACACGCAAATTGTTTCCTCTTCGCACGACCGCATGGTCATGGTGTGGAACTTGGACGCAATGCCATTTGTGGAGAATTTGTAAGTGACCTTTTTTTAATATACCAGTGTACAATAGGACCTCCATATCCATGGGGGATGTGTTCCAAGGACCTGTCTTGGATGCCGAAACCGCAAATAGTAGAGAACCCCATATACAAGTCCTAACGTACCTTTTTAAGTTTAATTGATAAATTATGCACAATATTTGGAGAATTATCCCTTTTCACTGATGGGAAGCACTTCAAGGCTTCTCTTAGGCATTGAAACCTTCCACCATCACTACTTTTGCACTTTGTGGCCATTATTAAGTAAAATTAAGGGTTATTTTAGGGCCAAGGTAAACCATGGATAACTAAAACCTCAGATACTGGACCCGCAGATGTGGGGGCCTTATTGTCTTATGAATACGTAAGATGACAGGTGAATCTTACTGTCTCATGAGCACATAAGATGACAGGTGAATCTTACTGTCTCATTACATGTAGAGACAGTTTGAAATCTTACTGTCCATGAGCACAAAAGATGCAGTGAATCTTACGTCTCATTAACAAGTAAGATGACAGGTGAATCTTACTGTCTCATTAACATGTAAGATGACAGGTGAATCTTACTGTCTCATGAGCACATAAGATGACAGGTGAATCTTACTGTCTCATTAACATGTAAGATGACAGGTGAATCTTACTGTCTCATGACCACATAAGATGACAGGTGAATCTTACTGTCTCATTAACAAGTAAGATGACAGGTGAATCTTACTGTCTCATGAATACGTAAGACGTGTATAGTGAATGTAAACTTCTGTTTACATACACTATACACAAACCTTTACTTTCCTATATGCTTCTTAATGGTTTTTAATACTGTAATATTTCCTTTGTAACTTAGGAGGCTTTGGTCTGAGATCAAACTAGGGGAAGATAATCCCAAGGACCACTGACAGGCCCACTAACAGGACCACTAACAAATAACACCCTTATCCCTCACCCCCTCTTCTTCAAAGGGGATTCACAACGTTCGTGTATTCCAGAGGTGGTCATCAAGACGCAATTACCGGAATCGACGCATTCATGAGAGAAGCCTGTGTCACCAGCGGTGGCCGTGACCAGTCAGTGATTGTGTACGTGATCTCCGAAGACAAGCAGCTGAGGTTCTCCGGCCACCAGGATTCCATTGAAGGCATCAAACTAGTCAACGACAAAACATTTATCACCTTTGGCCAAGATGGGTGAGGATTTATTTTTCTACTCGACAGTCAGTCTTGTACCAACACCGGGTACCCCAAAGGAGGAAACACGTTCACGTTTTCACGCAAAATTATATATTTATTACTGTTTTTTCCTGACTCGTATATGTGTATATGACATGAATGAAAAAAGTGATAATTTTTTGACGATTCAATTATAATTTTTTAAAGCAAGGAAGGACGTAGTATAAATCATTATTATAAAGCTCCTCTGAATGCAATCAGCTTTCTTATAAAGCTTACTTATATGGAGTCAGCTCTTATAAAGCTTAATTATATGGAGTCAGCTCTTACAAAGCTTACTTATATGGAGTCAGGTCTTATAAAGCTTATTTATATGGAGTCAGGTCTTATAAAGCTTACTTATATGGAGTCAGGTCTTATAAAGCTTATTTATATGGAGTCAGCTCTTATAAAGCTTATTATATGGAGTCAGTCTTATAAAGCTTACTTATATGGAGTCAGTCTTATAAAGCTTATTATATGGAGTCAGGTCTTATAAAGCTTATTTATATGGAGTCAGCTCTTATAAAGCTTATTTATATGGAGTCAGGTCTTATAAAGCTTATTTATATGGAGTCAGCTCTTATAAAGCTTATTTATATGGAGTCAGCTCTTATAAAGCTTATTTATATGGAGTCAGCTCTTATAAAGCTTATATGGAGCCAGGTCTCTTATAGAGCTTCCTTATATAGAGTCTGCTTTTGTATAAAGTTCCTTTATATAGTCAGCTATTATAAGCTCTTCTAAATACAGTCAGCTCTCTTATAAAGCTCTTCTATATACAGTCAACTATCTTATAAAGCTCCTCATTGAAGAACTGATAGTCAGCTCTTATAAAGCTCTTTATAAGTCAGCTCTCTGTAAAGCTCATTCTAATACAGTCAGCTCTCTATAAAGCTTTTATGAGTCCAGTCTCTTATAAGCCTTCTACATACAGTCATGCTTCTCTATAAAGTTCCTTTATAAGTCAGCTCTTATAAAGCTCTTCTACATACAGTCAGCTCTCTGTAAAGCTCTTCTAATACAGTCAACTCTAAATCTTTATACAGTCAGCTCTCCTGTAAAGCTCTTCTACATACAGTCAGCTCTCCTATAAAGCTCTTTATACAGTCAGCTCTCCTGTAAAGCTCTTCTACATACAGTCAGCTCTCCTGTAAAGCTCTTTAATCAGTCAGTCTCCTGTAAAGCTCTTTATACAGTCAGCTCTCCTGTAAAGCTCTTCTACATACAGTCAGCTCTCCTGTAAAGCTCTTCTACATACAGTCAGCTCTCCTGTAAAGCTCTTCTACATACAGTCAGCTCTCCTGTAAAGCTCTTTATACAGTCAGCTCTCCTGTAAAGCTCTTCTACATACAGTCAGCTCTCCTGTAAAGCTCTTCTACATACAGTCAGCTCTTCTGTAAAGCTCTTTTACAGTCAGCTCTCCTGTAAAGCTCTTCTACATACAGTCAGCTCTTCTGTAAAGCTCTTTATACAGTCAGCTCTCCTGTAAAGCTCTTCTACATACAGTCAGCTCTCCTATAAAGCTCTTTATACAGGCAGCTCTCCTATAAAGCTCTTCTACATACAGTCAGCTCTTCTGTAAAGCTCTTTATACAGTCAGCTCTCCTGTAAAGCTCTTCTACATACAGTCAGCTCTCCTGTAAAGCTCTTCTACATACAGTCAGCTCTCCTGTAAAGCTCTTCTCGCTCTCTAACCTCTACAGTCAGCTCTCCTGTAAAGCTCTTCTACATACAGTCAGCTCTTCTGTAAAGCTCTTTATACAGTCAGCTCTCCTGTAAAGCTCTTCTACATACAGTCAGCTCTCCTGTAAAGCTCTTCTACATACAGTCAGCTCTCCTGTAAAGCTCTTCTACATACAGTCAGCTCTCCTGTAAAGCTCTTCTATACAGTCAGCTCTCCTGTAAAGCTCTTCTACATACAGTCAGCTCTTCTGTAAAGCTCTTTATACAGTCAGCTCTCCTGTAAAGCTCTTCTACATAGTCAGCTCTCCTGTAAAGCTCTTCTACATACAGTCAGCTCTTCTGTAAAGCTCTTCTACATACAGTCAGCTCTCTGTAAAGCTTTCTATACAGTCAGCTCTCTGTAAAGCTCTCTTATAAGTCAGCTCTTCTGTAAAGCTCTTCTACATACAGTCAGCTCTCCTGTAAAGCTCTTCTATATACAGTCAGCTCTTCTGTAAAGCTCTTTATAGTCAGCTCTCCTGTAAAGCTCTTCTATATGTAGTCAGCTCTTCTGTAAAGCTCTTTATTCAGTCAGCTCTCCTGTAAAGCTCTTCTATAGTCAGCTCTTCTGTAAAGCTCTTTATACAGTCAGCTCTCCTGTAAAGCTCTTCTATATACAGTCAGCTCTTCTGTAAAGCTCTTTATACAGTCAGCTCTCCTGTAAAGCTCTTCTATATACAGTCAGCTCTTCTGTAAAGCTCTTTATACAGTCAGCTCTCCTGTAAAGCTCTTCTATATACAGTCAGCTCTTTGTAAAGCTCTTTATACAGTCATTTCTCTTATAAAGCTACTTTATATACTTAGTGTAGGAATTATCAAGAAGTCGGACAGCTTTCTTAAAAGTACTGGATCAGCTGGGTAATGATGGCTGACCAGGCAGTGGACAGGGAAGCTTGGCTTCAAGCTGGGCTGCTGGGGTACAAAATCATCATTATTATAATCAAAACTAAGCACTAAACCCACAAGGGTCATATAGCCTGGAGTAGAAAAGCCCCCAAAAGAGGTCAGGGGTACAGGTTGCATCTCTGCCTCGTAAAGTTGTACTAACACAGTTGCAGACAAATCCCAGAATGGATGGGGTTCAAACCCATGGCAGGGAATTCCCTGCCATGGGTTGAACCCCATCCATTTTGGGATTTGTTAATACAGATGCTCCTTGCCTTACAATGTTTCAACTTACGATATTTTTGACTTCTCATGATGTGATTTTTATTTTTTTTTTTTTGTTTTACTGCACATTGCTGTTCATTGTATTGATAGAAGTAAACCCTCGTATTCATTTATTTTTACTTTCATACCTTAGTATTACTAGTACAAGTAATTATTTTTTCAGTGACATGTAGAAATTTATGCATATCGACTTACAATGTCTTAGTGGGTCCATCAGATGGCGAACCCATCGAAGTCGAGGGGCGCTTGTATGTTGGTGTCCACAAATATTTATAAATTCCATTAAAATTTGCGAATACTGTAAATGTGTTTTGTTTCTGCAGTGGACTGGCCTTATGGACAACATTCAAGAAGCGCCATCACTGTATTGTGAAAGCTGCGCATGGTTACCAGAGTAATGGACTACCCAACTGGCTGACTGCAGCTGCTGCTCTTGTCAACACTGACTTCCTTGCCTCAGGTATGTATCTTTCACACAATATTTATTCATTTTCAACAAAATGGCCATATCCCGAGGCAGGTGACCTAAAAAGAAAAACAATAGTTTTTCATTTTAAATTTAGTAATTTATACAGGAGAAGGGGTTACTAGCCTCTTGCTCCCAGCATTTTAGTCGCCTCTTAAGACACGCATGGCTTACAGAGGAAGGCTTCTTCTCCATGGAAAGTATTTGAATTATCACCACCATAATTACTACACTGTCATAATTGAAGGATGGGTGGAGATGATGTGGTTCTGGAGGTAGAAAGTACAGTATCTGAAGGATGGGCGAGGACACTGAAGGATGGGTAAGGATGTTGCAGTCCTGGAGGGTCGTAGTTATGTTTTCTTTGCCTCGCCTAATCTTGCTGGAGAAACAACAGATTTAGAAACAAAAATTACACAATTTTCCCCTGAACTCGTGGTATCCCTGTATAGCACATGCCTCTTAAGTAAACTATCAAAGTATGGCTAGGAAGAGTGCCTCTCACTTAGTAGACAGATTATTATTACAATAATCATAACTAAGCGCTAAATCCACAAGGGTCGTACAACGCTGATGTAGTAAACAGTGGATCAGCCACTCTTATTGCTGACTAACCCACCCATGCAGGTTTAGTATTTTACACAATCTAGTTGCTCCTCCTGGGATGTTGATTCCTTGCTAGTCACTTTCATGCTTGCACGTCTGTTCTGTAAATTCTAGAGATCCAGCAACAACTTAGTAATGTCTTCAGCATTATTATAATCAATTTTTATTTATTATAATCATGGGGGAGCGCCAAACCCATAGGGATTATATAGCGCCTGTGGGGGGGATGGAAGGTACTCAGGTTCAATTCAGGGAACAGGCGTACACATCCAATTCCCTAGATCAAGAGCCCCTCACCAGCATCAAGGAACCTCCCTTGAGGAGATTATAAACAAAACTAAGCACTAAACCCACCAGGGTCATACAGCACTGCTGTCTTCATCAGTCGTCTTAAAAAAAAAGTTATCATAAATATAGGACGACGACAGCAAGTTGCCTCGTAACCCCTCGTGTATAAATTACTAAATGTAAAAAGAAAATAAACTTTATTCTTTTCTTCTCTTCAGGTCACCTAGCATGTTGAAAAAAAAAAAAAATAGGGGGACAAGGAATAAAAAAAAAAAAAGACTGGTGCACAGATTTTTTTCTTTGCAATATTTTCTTCTTCACAGAACTTTTTCACTGCAAACAGAGTGGTTGTATTTATGCTATTTTCACAGCACTGTGACCATGCATCATTCAACAATCATAGCAGTAATAATATACAGTGGACCCCCGGTTAACGATATTTTTTCATTCCAGAAGTATGTTCAGGTGCCAGTACTGACCGAATTTGTTCCCATAAGGAATATTGTGAAGTAGATTAGTCCCTTTCAGACCCCCAAACATACACGTACAAACGCACTTACATAAATACACTTACATAATTGGTCGCATTGGGAAGTGATCGTTAAGCGGAGGTCCACTGTATATTCCCCTACAAACAATAAAAAATTAACAAACAGTAAAAGCTATGAAGATAATAGGTCAATATTTCTACAGCCTCTCTACTGTCGAGTTTATTTTAAAAAAGTTTCTGTCTTTTAGATTTTTTATTTTTATTAACACATCGGCCGTCTCCCACCAAGGCAGGGCGACCCGAAAAAGAAAAATTTTCGCCATCATTCACTCCATCACTGTCTTGCCAGAGGTCCACTTACACTACAGTTATAAAACTGCAACATTAACCCTGGACCAACATCTTGGTCCAGGGAATCACTGAACTGGACCTGATTGTCTCTGAGCCTGCATTACCCGTGTGGGTTTAGCGCCCCCCCCATGACTATATATAATTAAGTCGCCCATAGTATGACTGTCATCAAATTTCTATATTTTTTATTGCAATTTTTCTGCCTTTTATATTTTTTATTTTTATTAACACATTGGCCGTCTCCCACCAAGGCAGGGTGACCCGAAAAAGAAAAACTTTCACCATCATTCACTCCATCATTGTCTTGCCAGAGGTCCACTTACACTACTCTTATAAAACTGCAACATTAACACCCCTCCTGCAGAGTACACTCACTGTACGTCCCATCTCCAGGACCTGCCGGTTTCCCTGAATTCCCTCATAAATATTATGACCCCATAGGGGTCATCAAGATCTTGGGGGGAGAAAGTGGAAGACATTCAGGCTTGATCTAGAGCCTTATCAGGCTAACAAGTATATTTCAGGGGTCTCATTAACCATATACAGTGGACCCCCGCATAACGATTACCTCCGAATGTGACCAATTATGTAAGTGTATTTATGTAAGTGCGTTTGTACGTGTATGTTTGGGGGTCTGAAATGGACTAATCTACTTCACAATATTCCTTATGGGAACAAATTCGGTCAGTACTGGCACCTGAACATACTTCTGGAGTGAAAAAATATCGTTAACCGGGGGTCCACTGTATTGGTGTGTTTTTGTCTTGATAAAGTCCAGGCCTATATGAAACAAAGATTTCATTGCAATTTCTATCTGCAATACTTCCTTTTAACTTTTATCCATGTTTTTTTTGCTTCTAGGGTCGATGGATGGATTTGTTCGTTTCTGGAAAGTGGACACTGAGCACCACCGCAAACTGCAGCCTTTGTTCACCATCGCCGTGCCAGGAGTGATCAACTCGCTGGCATTCACAGCCAGCGGAAGCCACCTCGTGGCTGGAGTTGGACAGGAACACAAGTTAGGCAGATGGTATCGAGAGACACCCGCCAAAAATTCCATCGTTGTCATTCCTTTAAAAAAGAAAGAAGTGAAAAAAGTATGAAAGTTTTTAATGCAAATTTGCCTTTTTTTCAGTTTTCTTCTCATTTTTGATAAAAAAAAGCATTAATTGCTTGTAAAAGTTTTAATAATAAAAATTTGACATGGTATTAAATTTTGTTTGAAAAATATATTTATCTGAAAAAAGTTTTAATAACAGATATCAGGATTTCAGTAATTAAAATTAGGGAGAAAGTACTGAACCCAGAGGAGATTTACAGCACATGGGGAAGGGGAGCCAATGAGGTTTGATCCAAGGGAAGAGAGGCCCTCCATATGCATCAAGAGCTTGCTGGCATCAAGGAACCTGCCTTGAGGTCCCTTCAAGGCAGGTTCCTTGATAGTCGTAAGGGGATCTTGGTCCAGGGAATCACTGAACTGGACCTGATTGTCTCTGAGCCTGCATTACCCATGTGGGTTTAGCGCTCCCCCATGACTATATATAATTAAGTCGCCCATAGTATGACTGTCATCAAATTTCTATATTTTTTTATTGCAATACGTATATAAAAATATTTCGCATCAAATAAAATTATATTGATATTTGTGTTTTTATTGCATTCGGAAGGAAGTTCTAAACCTGTAGGGATCGTGGAGCACCTGGGGAAATGTTGGGTGATCAGGTTTGATCCAAGGGGAGCACAGATCCATTTTCCTGGATGAAAACTCTCTGCACTAGTTTCATGGGACCTATTTGAGAGGATTTTTGGTATTAAATGTTACGATCGGAGAAAAAAATCTAACATTTGTTGGATTCAGATTATTATTATATTTATAACTAATGTGCTAAATCTGTAATTGTTCTGAGATTATCATAACTCGTGCTGAACCTATAATTGTCCCGAGATTATTATCGTAAGCACTGAACTTATAATTGTCCTGAGATTATTATCATAACAAGCACTGAACTTATAATTGTCCTGAGATTATAATCATAATTAGCACTGAACCTATAATTGTCCTGAGATTATAATCATAATTAGCACTGACCTATAATTGTCCTGAGATTATAATCATAATTAGCACTGAACCTATAATTGTCCTGAGATTATAATCATAATTAGCACTGAACCTATAATTGTCCTGAGATTATAATCATAATTAGCACTGAACCTATAATTGTCCTGAGATTATTATCATAATTAGCACTGAACCTATAATTGTCCTGAGATTATAATCATAATTAGCACTGAACCTATAATTGTCCTGAGATTATAATCATAATTAGCACTGAACCTATAATTGTCCTGAGATTATAATCATAACTAGCACTAAACCTATAATTGTCCTGAGATTATTATTTTAATTATAAGTGCTACACCTATAATTGTCCTGAGATTATAATCATAACTAAGTACTAACCCAATAATTGTTATTATAATCATTCTCGCGCTGTATAGCCCTTGTGGCTTAGCGCTTCTTTTTGATTATAATAATAATAATATTATAATCATTAGTGCTAAACTTATAATTGCTCTCAGATTAATGGCAAAGTTGAGAGTAATATACTGTGTGGAACTCTCAAGATTCTTAAAAATTTCTCAGCAAAGAAATGTAAATACAGTGGACCCCCGGTTAACGATTTTAATCCGTGCAAGAGGGCTCATCGTTATGCGAAATAATCGTTATGCGAATGAATTTTCCCCATAAGAAATAATGGAAATAAAATTAATCCGTGCAAGACGCCCAAAAGTATGAAAAAAATTTTTTTTTACCACATGAAATGTTAATTTTAATACACACAAACTGAAAAAGGCATGCACAATTACATGACACTTACTTTTATTGAAGATCTGGTGATGATTGATGGGATGGGAGGAGGGGAGAGCATATTCTTCTTACTGTTTAGAAGGGGAATCCCCTTCCATTAGGACTTGAGGTAGCAAGTCCTTTTCTGGGGTTACTTCCCTTCTTCTTTAATGCCACTAGGACCAGCTTGAGAGTCACTGGACCTCTGTCGCACAACAAATCTGTCCATAGACTCTGTACCTCCCGTTCCTTCAAGACTTTCCTAAAATGGGCCATAACATTGTCATTGAAATAGTCACCAGCACGGCTTGCAACAGCTGTGTCAGGTGATTTCATCTATAAAGGTTTGCAGTTCAACCCACTGTGCACACATTTCCTTAATCTTTGAAGTAGGCACAATGGATTCCACAACTGGCATAGGCTTCTCAGGGTTAGCCCCAAACCTTCAAAATCTTTCTTAATTTCCATACTAATTCTCACCCTTTTTACCACAGGGTTGGCACTAGAAGCTTTCTTGGGCCCATGGTCACTTATTTTCCAGAAACAGCACCGAAAACACTGTAATAATACGAAATATTCCGAGTGTATGCTTGGATGTTACCGCGGAGGTTTGGCTGGTAACAATGGGACGGGCCGTCACATGTGAGGGCACATTGGACGCGTCTCGGACGAAAATCTGGTAAGCGGGTTTTATAATCGGTATGCGCGGCAAAAAATTTTGCGATAAAGTAATCGTTTATGCGGAAAAATTCGCTTATTGATGCCATCGGTTATGCGGGGTCCACTATACAGTGGACCCCCGCATAACGATCACCTCCGAATGCGACCAATTATGTAAGTGTATTTATGTAAGTGCGTTTGCACGTGTATGTTTGGGGGTCTGAAATGGACTAATCTACACAATATTCCTTATGGGAACAAATTCGGTAAGTACTGGCACCTGAACATACTTCTGGAGTGAAAAAATATCGTTAACCGGGGGTCCACTGTAATTCAGAGAGTGTTAGGCCGCCCTCCTGGGATGGCTCTACCAGTGAGCAGGCGGAATTTACCTCCATCGTCATCACCGCTCTAACGCCCTTTATCTTCCCTCGTCCTTATGTGTTCATGGGTGATGCCCCTCAAGGAAGGCTCCTTGACGCTGGTGAGGGGCTCTTGATTCAGGGAATTGGATCTGTGCTCCAGCTCCCTGAATTAAGCCTGAATACCTTCCACATCCCCCCACAGGCGCTGTATAATCCTACGGGTTTAGTGCTTCCCCCTTGATTATAATAATAATAATTCATGGGTGATGGACTGATTACATTGTCTTCACAACTCTGCTGCTTCTGCTAACTCTTCTGTACTTGACTAAGAAGCATACTGTGTAGGTGAAACATTTTGGAATAAAGATACCTAATTATTGCACGTGTGTCTATCTTATCAGTGTGTCAGTATTGTGTACCATTGTCATATTTATCTTCCGTCCTCGTTGACAGCTCCATCTTTGACTTTAATTCCACAGTTCACACACTCTACCCTGAAGCGCTGTATGACCCTGGTGGGTTTGGTGCTTAGTTTGATTATAATAATTCTGGGATGAAAACTGAGGCTACAGCTTGCTACCCCTCATGGAAGGTTCCTTGATGTTGGTGAGGGGCTCTTGATTTAGGGAATTGGATCTGTGCTCCAGTTCTCCGAATTAAGCCTGAATGCCTTCAATATCCCCCCCCCCCAGGCGCTGTATAATTCTACGAGCTTAGCGCTCCCCCTTGATTATAATAATAATACAGCTTGCTACATGACCCTTGTGGGTTTGGCACTTAGTTTTGATTATAATAACAATAATATAAGCCACAACTGGCCTCGCTGTCTGACCCTCAACGCAGCCTCTCTCAAATGTTTTAAGAAATATTAACTTCTTGGACAATATGTAATTTCAATTTTACTCTTGGTCTGATCCCTACCCTTGGACATCCATAGCCACCCCTAAAGTCGGTTCCTGACCAGCCGGGCTGTGACTCGTACGTTGGTTTGCGTGCAGCCAGCAGTAACAGCCTGGTTGATCAGGCTCTGATCCACCAGGAGGCCTGGTCACAGACCGGGCCGCGGGGGTGTTAACCCCCGGAACTCTCTCCAGGTAAACCCCTGGATACCCTTGGACACCCTGGACATCCATGAACACCCCTATCCCTTGCATGTTCCCACCCTTGCACATCCCTACCCACACTGCTGCATAACCCATACAGGTTTAGCACAATTTTATATTACTGAAGCTGCCTCAGTACTGTATGACCCTCACGAGTTCAACACTTAGTTCTGATTGTAATAATAATACTGAAACCTCCGTAAGTCAGTCGTGCTTCCTCAAATAACTCAAGAAAAATCCCCTTTACCAACCAGACTGTAACACCTAAACCTTTCTATATACAGGGGCGGATCTACTAAGAAACCATCATACGGGTTTAATGCTCCCCCATGATTATAATAAAATTACTATGAAACCAATGAAGTTTAGGCTTCAGGGCCCCTAAATGCCCGAAATGCCTAGCCATGCTAGGTGTTGTAGTGGTACACTCTGTAATTATTATTTTACTATATGTAAACCACACAATAACCAAATTCTGTAAACTCAGCATTGTAATCCTTATAGAGAATAAACTTTGAATTGAATTGAATTGAAAAGAGCACAAGAAGCGAGTTTAGTCAACATTGCTTAAAAAGTTTTGGGTGTACTGTATGAGAAGGGGTTACAAAGGGGCTCCAATAATTATGCGTTCAAGCTTCAGGATCACAAAAATGTCGGTCTGCCACTGGCTATATACATACAAGATTTCTGCAGTTGCACCTGCCACCCACACATTGCAACATACGTCGACTGATTGGTATGTTTCTTGGAGAGAACAGCATCTTCGTTTCCAACACTCGGACAGACATTTTGTGTCACTCTGGGATTATTATTATAATCAAAGAAAGCGCTAAACCTTCGCTCGGGCAGTTCCACCTCCGCTACGACTACTCTTCACCATGCAGCAACATTCACCTTTTTACGATAATCTGGAATATTGAAACATATTTCAGTATGGTGTCCAATGCTTTACAGATATGAATAATGTGAGGAAGAGCATCGGTGCCCCAGTGCACCGCTGGCAAGACAGCGATGTACTAAGTAATGATTAAACTGTTTCTTCTCACCATGAGATTAAAAAGCCTCCTTAAGGGAGGCTTTTCAATCTCATGGTCTTGTGATCTAAGTAATGAACTTGCCAGGGAGTGTGAGGGGCTGACCGCTGCCGTACCCTTCTACTGCTTCCTCTCTACCTGTGTCAGACTGAAGAATCCAGCTATGCAGGCGAAACATCCCACGCGTTGAAAAACACGTGTTATCCAGCACACTGAGAGAGAGTCACATCCCTGAGGTTAAATAGTGACTGTCTGACTGTCTGTGGCCACTGTGTCAACTGTGAGACCAAGAGAAAAAAGTTACCCCTGAGGGTTTACCACGTAGACCTCGAGTGAGGATTTTGGGCCACAGATGGCGTTGAGAACCCCACCGGTCATTCTTTAAAAATAATGGGATATGAAAGAAAATATTCCTGCCCTCAAACCATACATATAAAATATATAATTTTCTCAAAACACCCATATTATTTTGAACATATATATGATATAACTCTAGGTAATATGTACTGACAAGATTATTTAGAAAGACACATGAGTAAACAATAGGACATATTTATCAGAAAATGTTTCGGTTCTGGGACTTTGATCACTTCTAAGATACAGAAGTTGAAAGGCAGTGTATTTAGATGAAGACTGAGGTGTGGGGTGACACATGGTGACTGAAAAATGCTATATTGGGATAAGGACAGATAGATAATGTTATCAGTCCCTCAGTCTTAGAGTTGGTGAAGACCACCATCGTCTTGAAGCACAGACAGGAAGGTATAATATTAGTCAGGAAACAGGATAAGTGTTCCCTGACACGGGTCTTAGTCATATGATGACCCTCAGCTGGAGCTTTAGGTCATCTGACCGAGTCCTTCCACTGGCTTACCCCTCCACCTCTTTAAAAATCATGGATATGATTACAACAATCAGAAGATATAGTCTGAAGCACAGACAGGAAGGTTGGTGGTTATATACTGGCGTCAGACGCAGCAGACGAAGACACTATCAGTGGCAGGCTGTATTCCACAGTGGAAGTAGGTCATACCCGAGGGATGGGTCAGGAGTAAGCAAGGTGCTTCCAGGGATGGGAAGGAGTAAGAAAGGTGCTTCCAGGGATGGGAAGGAGTAAGCAAGGTGCTTCCAGGGATGGGTCAGGAGTAAGCAAGGTGCTTCCAGGGATGGGAAGGAGTAAGCAAGGTGCTTCCAGGGATGGGAAGGAGTAAGCAAGGTGCTTCCAGGGATGGGAAGGAGTAAGCAAGGTGCTTCCAGGGATGGGAAGGAGTAAGCAAGGTGCTTCCAGGGATGGGAAGGAGTAAGCAAGGTGCTTCCAGGGATGGGAAGGAGTAAGCAAGGTGCTTCAAGGGATGGGTCAGGAGTAAGCAAGGTGCTTCCAGGGATGGGAAGGAGTAAGCAAGGTGCTTCCAGGGATGGGAAGGAGTAAGCAAGGTGCTTCCAGGGATGGGAAGGAGTAAGCAAGGTGCTTCCAGGGATGGGAAGGAGTAAGCAAGGTGCTTCCAGGGATGGGAAGGAGTAAGAAAGGTGCTTCCAGGGATGGGAAGGTGTAAGCAAGGTGCTTCCAGGGATGGGAAGGAGTAAGCAAGGTGCTTCCAGGGATGGGAAGGAGTAAGCAAGGTGCTTCCAGGGATGGGAAGGAGTAAGCAAGGTGCTTCCAGGGATGGGAAGGAGTAAGCAAGGTGCTTCCAGGGATGGGAAGGAGTAAGAAAGGTGCTTCCAGGGATGGGAAGGAGTAAGCAAGGTGCTTCCAGGGATGGGAAGGAGTAAGCAAGGTGCTTCCAGGTATGGGAAGGAGTAAGCAAGGTGCTTCCAGGGATGGGAAGGAGTAAGCAAGGTGCTTCCAGGGATAGGAAGGAGTAAGCAAGGTGCTTCAAGAGATGGGAAGAAGTAAGCAAGGTGCTTCCAGGGATAGGAAGGAGTAAGCAAGGTGCTTCAAGAGATGGGAAGAAGTAAGCAAGGTGCTTCCAGGGATAGGAAGGAGTAAGCAAGGTGCTTCCAGGGATGGGAAGAAGTAAGCAAGGTGCTTCAAGGGATAGGAAGGAGTAAACAATATTCTTCAGTCTTCAAGACTACAGTGGTCTTCACCAGCTCAAGACTGAGGGACTGATTACCTCATCTTTTGTATATACTCCTACAGTCTTCACATTATGTCTTTGTACTGATAAAGTCACTGGATGGGCTAAACCTTTATAAATAAAGATTCCCAGATGTTATACACGTGTTTAATTCTTTATTTACTGTAGCGTGTTGAACTCATTGGCCTGATGAAGCGAAACGTAGCGAGATTAACCCACGTTGAGAGTTTGAAGTTGATCGGACGAATCGTTCTCTAGCTGTAAATTAAAATCTTGGAAAAATTAATTTTTTTTTTAGCACTGGTTTTCTCTGTTAGGGAAATTTATTAATTGTTTCCCTGTTGTTTTCCCTTGTCCTGTTTCCTTCTGTTTTCATATAATCTGTTTCTATCAAGATTTTCCTCCAGAGTATCTTCCATGTCGTGATCATGTCTCCTCTTATTTGAGTTTTTAGTGATGTATCGTGCTGACGAATTGAACGATGTGGTCTCTTGTCATTTCATCGTAGGGCGGAGGCACTGCTGTTGGCACTGGTGGTGGTGGTGGCACTGGTGGTGGTGGTGGCACTGGTGGTGGTGGTGGCACTGGTGGTGGTGGCACTGATGATGGCACTCTCAGTAACTATATTTACCCTGGCGCCAGAGGTGCGAGTGTTCAACTGTCACCCCCCCCATACCCCCATCATGACCGTCTGTGATACATGGTGGTTGTCACCCATGCATAACCCACCCACACACACACACCCACACACTCTCTCCCACTTTAACTTACCCTTCACCCCAAATCCCCCAATTAATGACGTCCCCCAGTGCAAAAAACCCAGGTGGTAGCGTGTAAGAGTGCCAACAAGTGGAGCAGAGTGGTGGCACTCACCAAGACCCAGATTAGCGTCCTGGGCAGGCCTAGCACTCAGTGTGTGGACCATCCTGGGTCGTGGTGCAGGGACGGACCAATCTTTTATCTCCCACACAACACCAGCATCCCATCTCCCTTCTCTCAAATACATATATGCATATATAAAAGAGAGTAGCTCAGTGTCTGGCCGGGTGAAGCAGAGGCTGGACACTTCACTCGTCCAGTGTGATATATCAGAAGTTTTAGTGAAATCTGTGATACCTTTCTGTGGTTAATTTACGAGTGGAAAGCGGAGTGGACTGTGTGGAAAGATAGTGTTTGGTCGTTGGGTTAGTGAGTGTTGAAGGGAAGAAAAAGCTTGGGAAAGAAGGTTTTGACCAAGGAGAAGGTCAGAAAGAAGGCTTTCCAGTAGGTTTAAGGACAAGACAAGCGTCTGCAGTGCTTCGAGGACAACGTAGGCGTCAGGAATCCTCTTTACAACACCGAGGGACAGCACAAGAATCTGCAAGACTCTTGCAGGAACACAGGTGTCTTAAGTACTGCAACTACAAAACTCCAGGAGAATTTCAAGGTATATACAGCGCCTTGAGTGCCGTGTGGTGCGTCGAGCTATGACTGGAGGACTTGGGTAAAACGTCGATACACGTTTCCTTCACCCCACCAGCAACATGTTTCGCCGGGGACTAGTCAAGAACAAGGTCAGTAAAGTGGGAAGGGGAAGTAGGTCACTAAAATTGGAAAAATATACGTAGAGAGAGAGGTAGACCGATTTAGAAAAATAGGTAGAGCGCTAATTTAGTTACCTAATTACTAAGGAACATCGAAGTCCACTAACCACTTGTCAAAACAAAGGAGAAATAAACATGGAATGAAAGATAGAGATAAGAGAATATCTCTTCAACAGATCTGCTGAAAAGAACCTCAATTAGAGGTCCGTATGTACAGATATCCCCCATCTCTGTGCTCATTGTTGTCGTCTGTTCTATATAGCTGTCTGTGTCCCAGCTACTGGAACCTTCTAGCTTCATGATTCCTGACAAGCGATGAACTTGACGGCAGAACCTCTCTCTTCCTGGTTCACTCCAGGTGTCTTAGGTTCCACTTTGTGAAGGTTCAACTGGCGTGTCTGTGGCCCTGGGAAATATATTGGCATCTTCCACTGTTTACTCGCTTACTTTCTAAGAAATATTTAGGAAGTTGGTCGAGAAACACGTGGTCTATTGTTGGTCTGTTGTTGTTGTCGCTGTTGTTGTTGTTAGTCTGTTGTTGTTGGTCTTTTCTTGACAAAAACACCTCCTCCTCCTCCTCCCCCACTAACACACACTTAACCAGCTCCTTGGTCATAAATTCCTAATGTTACCAGCTTTTTTGATACATTTTACGACCTTCCTCAGTGTCAGTGAGGCGGTAACGTCGTTGACTCACAACCGAATGACCCGGGTTCAATCCCGGGACCGGGGAAGAAGCAATTAACGTCCCAGGGGTTAAGCTTGTGTTGGGGAAGGTAGTGAAGGTGGGGAAGGTTCCCCAACACGTACCCAGGGAATGAGGTGTGGGGAAGTGTGGGCAGACTAGGTATTCTTGGCACTATATATGTGTCAAGCGAGGAGGAGGAGGAGGAGGAGGAGGAGGGGTAAACCTGGAGAGTATACCAGGAGGAGGGGTAAACCTGGAGAGTATACCAGGAGGAGGGGTAAACCTGGAGAGTATACCAGGAGGAGGGGTAAACCTGGAGAGTATACCAGGAGGAGGGGTAAACCTGGAGAGTATACCAGGAGGACAATATTCCTTCAGACATTTCTTTCGTCCGTCTGAAATTACGAAGCGACTTTGAAAATGGTCCAAGTCTGAATATGACGTCGTCGTCAGCTCCTCTCTCCTATGTGCGGGTTATATGTACTATATTGTTCCAGTCTTACCTGTAAATACCTTTGTAACTTGTCGTGATTGTGACCAGACCTACCTGGAATTCATTACCTTTGCAAATTGTGAGTTCATTACCTCTGTAACTTGCTCAGCTATCAAAACTTTGGAGTCCAGTCCCTGGACCCATTATGTACCTCTGTAATCTTTTGACTACCACCCACAGGATGGGTATGTGGTGCATAATAAACATATTAAACTAACTTACCTTACTAACAGCCAGCAATACATCTGCATTCGGGACACAGCCTCCTCAACAAGACCTCTGGACACTGGCGTTCCACAGGGAAGCATCCTTGGCCCGCTGCTGTTTCCCTTATGCAGCCTCCTCAACAAGACCTCTGGACACTGGCGTTCCACAGGGAAGCATCCTTGGCCCGCTGCTGTTTCCCTTATGCAGCCTCCTCAACAAGACCTCTGGACACTGGCGTTCCACAGGGAAGCATCCTTGGCCCGCTGCTGTTTCCCTTATGCAGCCTCCTCAACAAGACCTCTGGACACTGGCGTTCCCGGAATTCCTTTTTTTGGGTGCAAGGGGTCAGTCTGTGCCGGGTGGGGGTTTCCAGGTGCTGGTCTGTTGCAGGGTACGGGTGGGGTGGCCGGGGTTCGGCCCAATGGACAGGGGCCTGTTTGGGCCGGGCGGGGTTCTTAATGACCGGGGCCGGGGGCCTGGGTCCAGCGTGGCCCAGGTGGCCCTGGTCTGGGAAGCGGGGCCCAATTCTTGGCATCGTATCCCGGATTTCCAGGATCGGGGAACTGGGAAAGGTGGGCTCCGGTAGTCTAATTTTCCTGGCCAGGGCATGGACACGTTTCTGCATCCGCGACCCAGTCCTAGTGCAGTAACACCATTTCGGCCAGCGTGCCCGGTGGCCGGCCAGATGTTTGCTCCGGGACGACGGCTGTAGTTCAGGATGAAGGGACCGGGTAACGGGGCCGCCCCCGGGGTATCAAGGACATGAAGTGGTTATGTCAAATCGGGACCGAACGGAATGGTAAGTAGGTGACTGACAGTGGTATCTCAAGTGATTTGCGTTCGGTGCCATAGCTCAGGTGAATGTTATGTCAAAACCAGGACCTTTCATTGAACCCTTTTTCCACTGGCAGAGCCCGGTTGGGAAAGGACTGGATTTGGGGTCTCATTCAGAGGCAACTGTGCGGCATTCCAGCCTGAGTGTACATGTTAACGACTCCTTGGCAGGATTGCCGGCTTGCAGTTCCTGTTCCAGGCCTAAACCTTCTTCAGGCCTGGCGACCTTAAAGCCTTGGTTAGTTAAGTTTGTACGCCCCCACGGGCCTTTTGGGCCTGAACACCTTGGAAACGTTACCAAGGATTTAAACGGGGCCTTATAGCCTCTGAAGCGGACCTTGGAAACGGCTTCAAGTACTTTCCAAAGGCTTTTTAAGACCTTAGCCACTTGAAGCGTTCAGGAACCGGGTCTGGCGTTTTTGCCCGCCTAACGACCTTAAAACACTCTGTTGTCAAAAATCTTTTTGGCCTGACCCCTTGCCTTGATGGTCAAGTTCTTTAAATCCCTTTTAGCATCTAAAAAGACTTGCATTGGTTTAAAAAGGTCGTTGATAGCCTGTTTGTGTCCTTGCAGTCTGAAAGGCCTTGAATTGCTTAAAGGGAAGTTTGTGGTTTTTAGACTAGCCGTACCTTTGTGTGGTGCAAGTCCCTTTGTTTATCCCTGAGGCCCTCCCTGTCCGATTTTACAGGTTCCATCTTTTTCGGCCCTTGTGACCTTAGTCCAAAACCCTTGGCCACTGGGTTCCACAGGGAAACCTTGGCTTTCCTTTCCCCGGAAAACCCTGGACACTGGGTTTCCCAAGGGGTTCTTCCTCCCTGTTCCTTTCACCCTCAACAGCCTCTGGAACTGGCGTTCCACGGGGAAGCATCCTTGGCCCGCTGCTGTTTCCCTTATGCAGCCTCCTCAACAAGACCTCTGGACACTGGCGTTCCACAGGGAAGCATCCTTGGCCCTCTGCTGTTTCCCTTATGCAGCCTCCTCAACAAGACCTCTGGACACTGGCGTTCCACAGGGAAGCATCTTTGGCCCTCTGCTGTTTCCCTTATGCATCCAAGATCTTCCATATGTACCGCGACCAGAAACATTGTTGATAAACACCTCTTATAAACATTAGCCTTCATGACTACCAATAAACTTACACTTAACATTCGTGAAACATTCTATATTATGTATGGTAGAAAGAGTGGGTAATGTTGAGCTAAATATTGTGATTAATAATGTTATTTTTAATAGTGTTGGGCTGGGTGTTGGACTGGGTGTTGGGCTGGGTGTTGGGCTGGGTGCTGGGCTGGGTGCCTGGGCTGGGTGTGGGTGGGTGCTGGGCGGGGTGCTGGGCTGGGTGTTGGGCTGGGTGTTGGGCTGGGTGTTGGGCTGGGTGTTGGGCTGGGTGTTGGGCTGGGTGTTGGGCTGGGTGTTGGGCTGGGTGTTGGGCTGGGTGTTGGGCTGGGTGCTGGGCAGGGTGCTGGGCTGGTGCTGGGCTGGGTGCTGGGCTGGGGTTGGGCAGGGTGCTGGGCTGGGTGCTGCGCTGGGTGCTGGGCTGGGGTGTTGGGCTGGGTGTTGGGCTGGGTGTTGGGTGGGTGTTGGGCTGGGTGTTGGGCTGGGTGTTAGGCTGGGTGTTGGCTGGGTGTTGGGCTGGGGTGTTGGGCTGGGTGTTGGGCTGGGTGTTGGGCTGGGTGCTGGCTGGGTGTTGGGCTGGGTGCTGGCTGGGTGTTGGGCTGGGGTTTGGGCTGGGTGTTGGGCTGGGTGTTGCTGGGTGTTGGGCTGGGTTGTTGGGCTGGTGTTGGCTGGGTGTTGGGCTGGGTGCTGGGGCTGGGTGTTGGGCTGGGTGTTGGGCTGGGTGCTGGGCTGGGTGCTGGGTGGGTGTTGGGCTGGGTGTTGGGCTGGGTGATGGGCTGGGTGTTGGGCTGGGTGTTGGGCGGGGTGCTGGGCTGGGTGTTGGGCTGGGTGCTGGGCTGGGTGTTGGGCTGGGTGCGGGGCTGGGTGTTGGGCGGGGGTGCTGGGCTGGGTGCTGGGCGGGGTTTGCTGGGCTGGGTGCTGGGCTGGGTGCTGGGCCTGGGTTTGCTGGGCTGGGAGCTGGGCTGGGTGTTGGGCTGGGTGCTGGGCTGGGTGTTGGGCGGGGTGCTGGGTGGGTGCTGGGCGGGGTTTGTTGGGCTGGGTGTTGGGCTGGGTGCTGGGCTGGGTGCTGGGCTGGGTGCTGGGCTGGGTGCTGGGCTATGTGCTGGGCTGAGTGTTGGGCTGGGTGCTGGGCTGGGTGCTGGGATGGGTGCTGGGCTGGGTGCTGGGCTGGGTCCCGGGTGGGTGCCGGGCTTAGTGCTGGGCAGGGTGCTGGGCTATGTGCGGGCTGGGTGCTGGGTTGGGTGCTGGGCTATGTGCTGGGCTGGGTTTTGGGGCTGGGTGCTGGGGGTGTTGGGCTATGTGCTGGGCTGGGTGCTGGGCTGGGTGCGGGGCTGGGTGCTGGGCTATGTGCGGGGGCTGGGTGCTGGGCTGGGTGCTGGGCTGGGTGCTGGGCTGGGTGCTGGGCTATGTGCTGGGCTGGGTGCGGGGCTGGGTGCTGGGCTGGGTTGGGGGCTATGTGCTGGGTTTGGGTGTTGGGCAGGGTGCTGGGCTGGGTTTTTGGGCTGGGTGCTGGGCTGGGTGCTGGGCTGGGTGCTGGGCTGGGTGCTGGGCTGGGTGCTGGGCTATGTGCTGGGCTGGGTGTTGGGCTGGGTGCTGGGTTGGGTGCTGGGCTATATGCTGGGCTGGGGTTT